CCTTCCAGGACGATCTACATGTACAAATATATTAAGAAAATTGTTATGATCATAAATATTGTCAAAAATTAATCTGTTTTTTTAAGGCTATACACACCTGAAGAGGACGAAAAAATTCTTCGGTATATGCGATCAAACAAAAGAGGAACATATACCGAAGTGTTCTGAAGAACTATCGCGAAAGGAAAATGTAATGCATTAAACATTGTTTCTTAAACAGGGATCAGCACTTTAATATCTCTTGTCTGATCTAAATTTTTCTAGATTTTTGAAAGAAGAAATTGGCTAAGCGTGAAGAACAGGTTTATTAAATATTTAAATAACAGAGAAAACAGTAAGTAAAGTAATAAACACATGTTACCATGTACCCTTACATCTATCTCAAGTGGATACAATTTTTGCAGAGGCCTACTTATATACTGAGGTCTTCGTTTACTGACAACTCTGACTTCTGCTCCTCTGACTATATCATCCTTTCCTACGACTAATCTCTCAATTCTCGCTGTTTTCAGAAACCTTCTTTTTAAACCTTCGTCAAAAACAAGAACGACATCACCTCTTTTTGGACAAGAACTACCTTCCCTTTTCCGACCTTATGGTACTCTCTTAAACTTGTTAAGTACTCCTTCCTCCACTTTGACCAAAAATACGTCCTCAATTTCGCTAAATATCTAAACCTACGTTTTATCTCTCCTTCATCTTCATCCCTAATAGCATTTTGAACTTCCTCGTCAGGAATAGATGCTAATCGTCTTCCAAACATGAGATGGGAAGGAGTCAGTACATCCACAATAACTTCATCATCGTACACATACGTCAATGATCTGGAGTTTAACGTACCTTCTATCTCAACTAATGTCGTCAACAGTTCTTCCCTATTCAATTTAGCATTACCCAATAAATTCCTCAGACAACCTTTCACCAACGCTACCATTCTTTCAAAAAATCCACCCCATCAAGGTGGCCTTGCCAAATTAAATTCCTCACCAACCTATTACCTTCCAAAAAGAGTTCACCTCTTGCTATCATAAATCGCCTTCTATGCTTTCTCAGTTGCTTTAAACGTCTTAGCATTGTCCGAAACCATTAGCGAAGGTGTTCCCCTTCTAGCGGTGAACCTTCGCACGCAATTCAAAAAACAACGTGCACTTAAACTATCCACAAAGTCAAGATAAATTGCTCTTGTCACACAGCAAGAAAATAATGCAATATGCACCTTTACCATCTGCCCACCTTCTTTTCAAACAATGGTCCTGCAAAATCCACACCTACCTTAGAAAAGGGAGGGAATATTGTACTCTAAAGTCTGGCAGATCTGCTTGCACTGGTGGTTTGTAAGTCTGGTAATTGTATGATTTTAAAAGGAATCAAGGCCAATCACCCTTTTCACAATCTTTCTACCTCGAGGCACCCAAAATTTGCTGCGTAGCTGAGCTAAGGTCGCTCCCACCCAACTATGGTGAACCTTCCTACGGCAATCTTTAATGATTAATTCTGTTAAGTGGTGATCCTTATGCAATAAAATTGGTTCCCTTGTTTCTAACTCTAACTATAAATTGCCAAGTCTACCCTTACATCTAATCATTCCATTACGCTCCACTATGTTCAATTGTCTGATAATTTGCTCATAATCACTACGTTTGCCTACTTCCTTCTGCGCCAATTTTATCAACACTTGCTTTGCGATCACCACTTTGATACTCTCAATGCTCCAGTATTCCCTGCCTCATGCTTAACTTTTGCCTTCAAATTGTCTACAAACCGTTGAACAAACGCCATGACCCTTATACGTCTTTCTATGTCACTAAAATCCCCAAACTTCACTGCACTCTCTACTACCTGTGTTTCAACTAATGCAGTCCTTTTTACCTCAGCAAGACTTTCCTTTGTATTATTAGCCTCTATTGCCCTTAGCCACTTGCACTGTGGACCTGACAACCACATTCGTCCTCTCCACCAAAGCCGACTTCCCTTTAATTGCGATGCGGCAACTCCGTTAGAACCTATATCTGCTGGGTTCTCTACACCTGGGCAATATCTCCAATCATCCTTTCTGTTCAATTTTAAAATTTCGTTAACTCTATGGCGTACAAATTGTTTCCATTCTTCCTTATTACTGATTCAGGACAATGCAGTCATACTGTCTAACTAATAGTATGTTTTAATAAACTGTACTTTTCCTCCCTTATCCGGCTTGTGAGCTTTTCGAAGCTCTAACTCTAAGAATCGCATTCAACGCATCTTTCGTTGACCACTCAGTGCAATCGTGGCTTCTTGTAATCGTCAATCGAAAGGAGTCCGGTAACTTTGCAATAACTTCTGGTAGTACGATTTCTGAATACGCGGCTTATTCACGGATAGAGTAATCCAACAAATGACAGTTGAAAGTGAAGATGGCGAATACCCAGACGTATCTTTAATATGAATTGAAACAAATTATTGGAACTGTAAGTAAAGAGAATGGAAACTATTCGTATTCATTTGAAAATTGCTCGTCCAGGAAGAGTTGAATTTGACCCATCGCTGTCAAGTTAAAATAATTTACAGCTAGGTTGCTAAGTTCAGAGGCAGTTATGACATAAAATTATACTCAATGCTTAAAAACTGCACTAAGTACCTTTATTTTATCATTTTTTAAAATCTAGAGATTGTTGTATGTTACTTTTGCCGTGATTTGGAAACAAGAATGCGTGTGAGTGCTCCTCAACGGAGCTCCTCATACGGAGTAAAAGTAAACAATATTGTACGCCTTCAGATGAAACTTCTGGACATTTATACTTCATAAGGTCACCCTCAAACCTACAAATAAAATGATGTGAGACTTCTATTTATTATCTATTCTGTGTCAATGCATATTCACTTTCAAAATACTTCGTGTTGTGAATACTGAAGAACCCAACGTGGCTAGACTGAGCAGGTTATGCAAAAATAAACGCAGTCAAAAAAAAACTGTTGTACTGAATAAAAAATATTCTGGTTTCTACATCAGATTACATGATTACAGGTTTAACTGCATTCAGCAATACGACAAACGATGGAAAGGAAGAGGTAAATATTTAAAAAATAGCGAGAGAATAGCGAACATTCTAAACGGCCCTCTTCATCATAGCTCGTACGTCATAGCTCGTACGTCATAGCCTGTGACAAATTTAGGTGTATTTTGGCTTCAGCCAATCGTTATAGAAAACTATAGCAGTTTTCGTTGCAGATGTATTCTATTTCAATGTTTCAGTATAGCATAGTGGTTAGCCGCGCCACCTCAGTGGTTACTCACAAAAACCGGTTTTTGCTATTTAATCACTAGGCAACTAGGCGGGAAAAGTCGAGAATTATACTTTTAATATATTCAATACAGTCGATAAATTATTTACTTGCTGAAAGCTTTCGGATGCAAAAGATTGCAGCTTTATGAAGGCCTATTTTGTCCCTGACGCTTGCTGACTGCGATTTAATGGACTTTCGTTATTTTTGATTCAACATGGCGTTAAGAAACTCCCGAAAAGACATGATATCTTCATATTAAATACAGAATGCGGTTTAAAGTTTATATAAGTCTTACAAGAAGGCGGTAACTTGTTTTTTTACTCTACTCCTTTTGGTTGAACATGGTTTTCGACAAGACGTGTTATATATAGCCAGTAGTTATTTGACTGAAGCGAAAACGTCCATGCAACTTGATACTCGTTGTCACGGAAGTACTTTGAAAATCGGGTCGTCTATTTCACATCGTATTTTACATCTAACCTCTATCAGAAGGAGTTTTTGGGAGAGCGTTGAAATGAATGCCATGTAATCTGAATCATATGTGAAAAGCATACATAGTCTTATGAGACTGTTAAAATTTACTCGGCGGATTGGCAAAGTTTAACCGGGGGATGAAGTTAAACGGGCTTCGTACAACGCATTTTTTCAATCGTTTATAATTTAGACGGTGGGGGACCATTTAAATGGTGGTTAACGAGTTAAACGCGTTTCATACAACCGGCCAAAGTTAGTTAAACGGCGTGCATGCATCGCAGTTTTAACCATCGTTTAACTATCTGTCAGATTAAGATTTACTCTTTGGAGACGGTTAAACGTCATTTAGTTTAAACGGCTTTCCTACAACCAGCCCCAGTAGTATCTAAGTTATATTAATAAGCAAAACTTAAATAATCGTGATTTATTCAGTTGATTCTGTATGGCTATGCTAAAATTTTCTTACTTCTTTAATTCACTGACCTAAGACTTGTCGATTTATTCGGCAAAGACAATTTCTTATCAAAGTGACTGTGTCACGAAATTGACCCTGGGGGGAGGGGCTAAAGAACGAAACACATGAAAAGAAAATTCACTACGGATATTGTATTATTTCCTTGTGAAGACTTTTAAGATTACATGGGAGAAAAATCAACGTAGACATTAGATATTTTTAATAGATCTATGGTTTTCGTTACTTTTTTATTTTGAATGATCATTCATTCACTCGACTATTTAGTGTTAAGTGATTATTTAAATATTCAATTATTAAGAACATTTCGACATGTCGAAACGTCAGTCAACAACAACAAAAACAGTCTTTATCCGGACTATACCTTCCAGGACGATCTACATGTACAAATATATTAAGAAAATTGTTATGATCATAAATATTGTCAAAAATTAATCTGTTTTTTTAAGGCTATACACACCTGAAGAGGACGAAAAAATTCTTCGGTATATGCGATCAAACAAAAGAGGAACATATACCGAAGAGTTCTGAAGAACTATCGCGAAGGAAAATGTAATGCATTGAACATTGTTTCTTAAACAGGGATCAGCACTTTGATATCTCTTGTCTTATCTAAATTTTTCTAGATTTTTGAAAGAAGAAATTGGCTAAGCGTGAAGAACAGGTTTATTAAATATTTAAATAACAGAGAAAACAGTAAGTAAAGTAATAAACACATGTTACCATGTACCCTTACATCTATCTCAAGTGGATACAATTTTTGCAGAGGCCTACTTACATACTGAGGTCTTCATTTACTGACAACTCTGACTTCTGCTCCTCTGACTATATCATCCTTTCCTACGACTAATCTCTCAATTCTCGCTGTTTTCCGAAACCTTCTTTTTAAACCTTCGTCAAAAACAAGAACGACATCACCTCTTTTTGGACAAGAACTACCCTTCCCTTTTCCGACCTTATGGTACTCTCTTAAATTTGTTAAGTACTCCTTCCTCCACCTTGACCAAAAATACGTCCTCAATCTCGCTAAATATCTAAACCTACGTTTTATCTCTCCTTCATCTTCATCCCTAATAACATTTTGAACTTCCTTGTCAGGAATAGATGCTAATCGTCTTCCAAATATGAGATGGGAAGGAGTCAGTACATCCACAATAACTTCATCATCGTACACATACGTCAATGATCTGGAGTTTAACGTACCTTCTATCTCAACTAATGTCGTCAACAGTTCTTCCCTATTCAATTTAGCATTACCCAATAAATTCCTCAGACAACCTTTCACCAACGCTACCATTCTTTCAAAAAATCCACCCCATCAAGGTGGCCTTGCCAAATTAAATTCCTCACCAACCTATTACCTTCCAAAAAGAGTTCACCTTTTGCTATCATAAATCGCCTTCTATGTTTTCTCAGTTGCTTTAAACGTCTTAGCATTGTCCGAAACCATTAGCGAAGGTGTTCCCCTTCTAGCGGTGAACCTTCGCACGCAATTCAAAAAACAACGTGCACTTAAACTATCCACAAAGTCAAGATAAATTGCTCTTGTCACACAGCAAGAAAATAATGCAATATGCACCTTTACCATCTGCCCACCTTCTTTTTCAAACAATGGTCCTGCAAAATCCACACCTACCTTAGAAAAGGGAGGGGAATATTGTACTCTAAAGTCTGGCAGATCTGCTTGCACTGGTGGTTTGTAAGTCTGGTAATTGTATGATTTTTAAAAGGAATCAAGGCCAATCACCCTTTTCACAATCTTTCTACCTCGAGGCACCCAAAATTTGCTGCGTAGCTGAGCTAAGGTCGCTCCCACCCAACTATGGTGAACCTTCCTACGGCAATCTTTAATGATTAATTCTGTTAAGTGGTGATCCTTATGCAATAAAATTGGTTCCCTTGTTTCTAACTCTAACTATAAATTGCCAAGTCTACCCTTACATCTAATCATTCCATTACGCTCCACTATGTTCAATTGTCTGATAATTTGCTCATAATCACTACGTTTGCCTACTTCCTTCTGCGCCAATTTTATCAACACTTGCTTTGCGATCACCACTTTGATACTCTCAATGCTCCAGTATTCCCTGCCTCATGCTTAACTTTTGCCTTCAAATTGTCTACAAACCGTTGAACAAACGCCATGACCCTTATACGTCTTTCTATGTCACTAAAATCCCCAAACTTCACTGCACTCTCTACTACCTGTGTTTCAACTAATGCAGTCCTTTTTACCTCAGCAAGACTTTCCTTTGTATTATTAGCCTCTATTGCCCTTAGCCACTTGCACTGTGGACCTGACAACCACATTCGTCCTCTCCACCAAAGCCGACTTCCCTTTAATTGCGATGCGGCAACTCCGTTAGAACCTATATCTGCTGGGTTCTCTACACCTGGGCAATATCTCCAATCATCCTTTCTGTTCAATTTTAAAATTTCGTTAACTCTATGGCGTACAAATTGTTTCCATTCTTCCTTATTACTGATTCAGGACAATGCAGTCATACTGTCTAACTAATAGTATGTTTTAATAAACTGTACTTTTCCTCCCTTATCCGGCTTGTGAGCTTTTCGAAGCTCTAACTCTAAGAATCGCATTCAACGCATCTTTCGTTGACCACTCAGTGCAATCGTGGCTTCTTGTAATCGTCAATCGAAAGGAGTCCGGTAACTTTGCAATAACTTCTGGTAGTACGATTTCTGAATACGCGGCTTATTCACGGATAGAGTAATCCAACAAATGACAGTTGAAAGTGAAGATGGCGAATACCCAGACGTATCTTTAATATGAATTGAAACAAATTATTGGAACTGTAAGTAAAGAGAATGGAAACTATTCGTATTCATTTGAAAATTGCTCGTCCAGGAAGAGTTGAATTTGACCCATCGCTGTCAAGTTAAAATAATTTACAGCTAGGTTGCTAAGTTCAGAGGCAGTTATGACATAAAATTATACTCAATGCTTAAAAAACTGCACTAAGTACCTTTATTTTATCATTTTTTAAAATCTAGAGATTGTTGTATGTTACTTTTGCCGTGATTTGGAAACAAGAATGCGTGTGAGTGCTCCTCAACGGAGCTCCTCATACGGAGTAAAAGTAAACAATATTGTACGCCTTCAGATGAAACTTCTGGACATTTATACTTCATAAGGTCACCCTCAAACCTACAAATAAAATGATGTGAGACTTCTATTTATTATCTATTCTGTGTCAATGCATATTCACTTTCAAAATACTTCGTGTTGTGAATACTGAAGAACCCAACGTGGCTAGACTGAGCAGGTTATGCAAAAATAAACGCAGTCAAAAAAAAACTGTTGTACTGAATAAAAAATATTCTGGTTTCTACATCAGATTACATGATTACAGGTTTAACTGCATTCAGCAATACGACAAACGATGGAAAGGAAGAGGTAAATATTTAAAAAATAGCGAGAGAATAGCGAACATTCTAAACGGCCCTCTTCATCATAGCTCGTACGTCATAGCTCGTACGTCATAGCCTGTGACAAATTTAGGTGTATTTTGGCTTCAGCCAATCGTTATAGAAAACTATAGCAGTTTTCGTTGCAGATGTATTCTATTTCAATGTTTCAGTATAGCATAGTGGTTAGCCGCGCCACCTCAGTGGTTACTCACAAAAACCGGTTTTTGCTATTTAATCACTAGGCAACTAGGCGGGAAAAGTCGAGAATTATACTTTTAATATATTCAATACAGTCGATAAATTATTTACTTGCTGAAAGCTTTCGGATGCAAAAGATTGCAGCTTTATGAAGGCCTATTTTGTCCCTGACGCTTGCTGACTGCGATTTAATGGACTTTCGTTATTTTTGATTCAACATGGCGTTAAGAAACTCCCGAAAAGACATGATATCTTCATATTAAATACAGAATGCGGTTTAAAGTTTATATAAGTCTTACAAGAAGGCGGTAACTTGTTTTTTTACTCTACTCCTTTTGGTTGAACATGGTTTTCGACAAGACGTGTTATATATAGCCAGTAGTTATTTGACTGAAGCGAAAACGTACATGCAACTTGATACTCGTTGTCACGGAAGTACTTTGAAAATCGGGTCGTCTATTTCACATCGTATTTTACATCTAACCTCTATCAGAAGGAGTTTTTGGGAGAGCGTTGAAATGAATGCCATGTAATCTGAATCATATGTGAAAAGCATACATAGTCTTATGAGACTGTTAAAATTTACTCGGCGGATTGGCAAAGTTTAACCGGGGGATGAAGTTAAACGGGCTTCGTACAACGCATTTTTTCAATCGTTTATAATTTAGACGGTGGGGGACCATTTAAATGGTGGTTAACGAGTTAAACGCGTTTCATACAACCGGCCAAAGTTAGTTAAACGGCGTGCATGCATCGCAGTTTTAACCATCGTTTAACTATCTGTCAGATTAAGATTTACTCTTTGGAGACGGTTAAACGTCATTTAGTTTAAACGGCTTTCCTACAACCAGCCCCAGTAGTATCTAAGTTATATTAATAAGCAAAACTTAAATAATCGTGATTTATTCAGTTGATTCTGTATGGCTATGCTAAAATTTTCTTACTTCTTTAATTCACTGACCTAAGACTTGTCGATTTATTCGGCAAAGACAATTTCTTATCAAAGTGACTGTGTCACGAAATTGACCCTGGGGGGAGGGGCTAAAGAACGAAACACATGAAAAGAAAATTCACTACGGATATTGTATTATTTCCTTGTGAAGACTTTTAAGATTACATGGGAGAAAAATCAACGTAGACATTAGATATTTTTAATAGATCTATGGTTTTCGTTACTTTTTTATTTTGAATGATCATTCATTCACTCGACTATTTAGTGTTAAGTGATTATTTAAATATTCAATTATTAAGAACATTTCGACATGTCGAAACGTCAGTCAACAACAACAAAAACAGTCTTTATCCGGACTATACCTTCCAGGACGATCTACATGTACAAATATATTAAGAAAATTGTTATGATCATAAATATTGTCAAAAATTAATCTGTTTTTTTAAGGCTATACACACCTGAAGAGGACGAAAAAATTCTTCGGTATATGCGATCAAACAAAAGAGGAACATATACCGAAGAGTTCTGAAGAACTATCGCGAAGGAAAATGTAATGCATTGAACATTGTTTCTTAAACAGGGATCAGCACTTTGATATCTCTTGTCTTATCTAAATTTTTCTAGATTTTTGAAAGAAGAAATTGGCTAAGCGTGAAGAACAGGTTTATTAAATATTTAAATAACAGAGAAAACAGTAAGTAAAGTAATAAACACATGTTACCATGTACCCTTACATCTATCTCAAGTGGATACAATTTTTGCAGAGGCCTACTTACATACTGAGGTCTTCATTTACTGACAACTCTGACTTCTGCTCCTCTGACTATATCATCCTTTCCTACGACTAATCTCTCAATTCTCGCTGTTTTCCGAAACCTTCTTTTTAAACCTTCGTCAAAAACAAGAACGACATCACCTCTTTTTGGACAAGAACTACCTTCCCTTTTCCGACCTTATGGTACTCTCTTAAATTTGTTAAGTACTCCTTCCTCCACCTTGACCAAAAATACGTCCTCAATCTCGCTAAATATCTAAACCTACGTTTTATCTCTCCTTCATCTTCATCCCTAATAACATTTTGAACTTCCTTGTCAGGAATAGATGCTAATCGTCTTCCAAATATGAGATGGGAAGGAGTCAGTACATCCACAATAACTTCATCATCGTACACATACGTCAATGATCTGGAGTTTAACGTACCTTCTATCTCAACTAATGTCGTCAACAGTTCTTCCCTATTCAATTTAGCATTACCCAATAAATTCCTCAGACAACCTTTCACCAACGCTACCATTCTTTCAAAAAATCCACCCCATCAAGGTGGCCTTGCCAAATTAAATTCCTCACCAACCTATTACCTTCCAAAAAGAGTTCACCTTTTGCTATCATAAATCGCCTTCTATGTTTTCTCAGTTGCTTTAAACGTCTTAGCATTGTCTGAAACCATTAGCGAAGGTGTTCCCCTTCTAGCGGTGAACCTTCGCACGCAATTCAAAAAACAACGTGCACTTAAACTATCCACAAAGTCAAGATAAATTGCTCTTGTCACACAGCAAGAAAATAATGCAATATGCACCTTTACCATCTGCCCACCTTCTTTTTCAATTAATGGTCCTGCAAAATCCACACCTACCTTAGAAAAGGGAGGGGAATATTGTACTCTAAAGTCTGGCAGATCTGCTTGCACTGGTGGTTTGTAAGTCTGGTAATTGTATGATTTTTAAAAGGAATCAAGGCCAATCACCCTTTTCACAATCTTTCTACCTCGAGGCACCCAAAATTTGCTGCGTAGCTGAGCTAAGGTCGCTCCCACCCAACTATGGTGAACCTTCCTACGGCAATCTTTAATGATTAATTCTGTTAAGTGGTGATCCTTATGCAATAAAATTGGTTCCCTTGTTTCTAACTCTAACTATAAATTGCCAAGTCTACCCTTACATCTAATCATTCCATTACGCTCCACTATGTTCAATTGTCTGATAATTTGCTCATAATCACTACGTTTGCCTACTTCCTTCTGCGCCAATTTTATCAACACTTGCTTTGCGATCACCACTTTGATACTCTCAATGCTCCAGTATTCCCTGCCTCATGCTTAACTTTTGCCTTCAAATTGTCTACAAACCGTTGAACAAACGCCATGACCCTATACGTCTTTCTATGTCACTAAAATCCCCAAACTTCACTGCACTCTCTACTACCTGTGTTTCAACTAATGCAGTCCTTTTTACCTCAGCAAGACTTTCCTTTGTATTATTAGCCTCTATTGCCCTTAGCCACTTGCACTGTGGACCTGACAACCACATTCGTCCTCTCCACCAAAGCCGACTTCCCTTTAATTGCGATGCGGCAACTGTTAGAACCTATATCTGCTGGGTTCTCTACACCTGGGCAATATCTCCAATCATCCTTTCTGTTCAATTTTAAAATTTCGTTAACTCTATGGCGTACAAATTGTTTCCATTCTTCCTTATTACTGATTCAGGACAATGCAGTCATACTGTCTAACTAATAGTATGTTTTAATAAACTGTACTTTTCCTCCCTTATCCGGCTTGTGAGCTTTTCGAAGCTCTAACTCTAAGAATCGCATTCAACGCATCTTTCGTTGACCACTCAGTGCAATCGTGGCTTCTTGTAATCGTCAATCGAAAGGAGTCCGGTAACTTTGCAATAACTTCTGGTAGTACGATTTCTGAATACGCGGCTTATTCACGGATAGAGTAATCCAACAAATGACAGTTGAAAGTGAAGATGGCGAAGACCCAGACGTATCTTTACTAAATATGAATTTAAAAAAATTGTTGGAACAGTAAGTAAAGGGAATGGAAAGTATTCATATTCTTTTGAAAATTGCTCGTCCAGGAAGAATTGAATTTGACCCATTGTTGTCAAGGTAAGGTAATTTATAGCTAGGTTGCTAAGTTCACAGGCTGTTATTACCTAAAATTATATTCGATGCTTAAAAATTGCACTAACTTCTTTTATTTTATTGTTTTTTAAAATCTAGAGATTGTTGTTTGTTACTTTTGCCGTGATTTGAAAACAAGAATGCGTGTGAGTGCTCCTCAACGGAACTCCTCATACGGAGTAAAAGTAAACAATATTGTACGCCTTCAGATGAAACTTCTGGACATTTATACTTCATAAGGTCACCCTCAAACCTACAAATAAAATGATGTGAGACTTCTATTTATTATCTATTCTGTGTCAATGCATATTCACTTTCAAAATACTTCGTGTTGTGAATACTGAAGAACCCAACGTGGCTAGACTGAGCAGGTTATGCAAAAATAAACGCAGTCAAAAAAAAACTGTTGTACTGAATAAAAAATATTCTGGTTTCTACATCAGATTACATGATTACAGGTTTAACTGCATTTAGCAATACGACAAACGATGGAAAGGAAGAGGTAAATATTTAAAAAATAGCGAGAGAATAGCGAACATTCTAAATGGCCCTCTTCATCATAGCTCGTACGTCATAGCTCGTACGTCATAGCCTGTGACAAATTTAGGTGTATTTTGGCTTCAGCCAATCGTTATAGAAAACTATAGCAGTTTTCGTTGCAGATGTATTCTATTTCAATGTTTCAGTATAGCATAGTGGTTAGCCGCGCCACCTCAGTGGTTACTCACAAAAACCGGTTTTTGCTATTTAATCACTAGGCAACTAGGCGGGAAAAGTCGAGAATTATACTTTTAATATATTCAATACAGTCGATAATGTATTTACTTGCTGAAAGCTTTCGGATGCAAAAGATTGCAGCTTTATGAAGGCCTATTTTGTCCCTGACGCTTGCTGACTGCGATTTAATGGACTTTCGTTATTTTTGATTCAACATGGCGTTAAGAAACTCCCGAAAAGACATGATATCTTCATATTAAATACAGAATGCAGTTTAAAGTTTATATAAGTCTTACAAGAAGGCGGTAACTTGTTTTTTTTACACTACTCCTTTTGGTTGAACATGGTTTTCGACAAGACGTGTTATATATAGCCAGTAGTTATTTGACTGAAGCGAAAACGTACATGCAACTTGATACTCGTTGTCACGGAAGTACTTTGAAAATCGGGTCGTCTATTTCACATCGTATTTTACATCTAACCTCTATCAGAAGGAGTTTTTGGGAGAGCGTTGAAATGAATGCCATGTAATCTGAATCATATGTGAAAAGCATACATAGTCTTATGAGACTGTTAAAATTTACTCGGCGGATTGGCAAAGTTTAACCGGGGGATGAAGTTAAACGGGCTTCGTACAACGCATTTTTTCAAACGTTTATAATTTAGACGGTGGGGGACCATTTAAATGGTGGTTAACGAGTTAAACGCGTTTCATACAACCGGCCAAAGTTAGTTATACGGCGTGCATGCATCGCAGTTTTAACCATCGTTTAACTATCTGTCAGATTAAGATTTACTTTTGGAGACGGTTAAACGTCATTTAGTTTAAACGGCTTTCCTACAACCAGCCCCAGTAGTATCTAAGTTATATTAATAAGCAAAACTTAAATAATCGTGATTTATTCAGTTGATTCTGTATGGCTATGCTAAAATTTTCTTACTTCTTTAATTCACTGACCTAAGACTTGTCGATTTAATCGGCAAAGACAATTTCTTACCAAAGTGAAGGTGTCACGAATTTGACCCTGGGGGGAGGGGCTAAAGAACCAAATACATCAAAGGAAAATTCACTACGGACATTGTATTATTTCCTTGTTAAGACTTTAACGATTACATGGGCGAAAAATCAACCTAGCCAATGCATATTTTTAATAGATCTATGGTTTTCGTTACTTTTTCATTTTGAATGATCATTCATTCACTCGACTATTTAGTGTTAAGTGATTATTTAAATATTCAATTATTAAGAACATTTCGACATGTCGAAACGTCAGTCAACAACAACAAAAACAGTCCTTATCCGGACTATACCTTCCAGGACGATCTACATGTACAAATATATTAAGAAAATTGTTATGATCATAAATATTGTCAAAAATTAATCTGTTTTTTTAAGGCTATACACACCTGAAGAGGACGAAAAAATTCTTCGGTATATGCGATCAAACAAAAGAGGAACATATACCGAAGTGTTCTGAAGAACTATCGCGAAAGGAAAATGTAATGCATTAAACATTGTTTCTTAAACAGGGATCAGCACTTTGATATCACTTGTCTTATCTAAATTTTTCTAGATTTTTGAAAGAAGAAATTGGCTAAGCGTGAAGAACAGGTTTATTATATATTTAAATAACAGAGAAAACAGTAAGTAAAGTAATAAACACATGTTACCATGTACCCTTACATCTATCTCAAGTGGATACAATTTTTGCAGAGGCCTACTTACATACTGAGGTCTTCATTTACTGACAACTCTGACTTCTGCTCCTCTGACTATATCATCCTTTCCTACGACTAATCTCTCAATTCTCTGCCGTTTTCCGAAACCTTCTTTTAAACCTTCGTCAAAAACAAGAACGACATCACCTCTTTTGACAAGAACTACCTTCCTTTTCCGACCTTATGGTACTCTCTTAAATTTGTTAAGTACTCCTTCCTCCACCTTGACCAAAAATACGTCCTCAATCTCGCTAAATATCTAAACCTACGTTTTATCTCTCCTTCATCTTCATCCCTAATAACATTTTGAACTTCCTTGTCAGGAATAGATGCTAATCGTCTTCCAAATATGAGATGGGAAGAAGTTAGTACATCCACAATAACTTCATCATCGTACACATACGTCCATGATCTGGAGTTTAACGTACCTTCTATCTCAACTAATGTCGTCAACAGTTCTTCCCTATTCAATTTAGCATTACCAATTTCAACCAAACGCTACCATTCTTTCAAAAATCCACCCCATCAAGGTGGCCTTGCCAAATTAAATTCCTCACCAACCTATTTTCTTCCAAAAAGAGTTCACCTTTTGCTATCATAAATCGCCTTCTATGTTTTCTCAGTTGCTTTAAACGTCTTAGCATTGTCCGAAACCATTAGCGAAGGTGTTCCCCTTCTAGCGGTGAACCTTCGCACGCAATTCAAAAAACAACGTGCACTTAAACTATCCACAAAGTCAAGATAAATTGCTCTTGTCACACAGCAAGAAAATAATGCAATATGCACCTTTACCATCTGCCCACCTTCTTTTTCAAACAATGGTCCTGCAAAATCCACACCTACCTTAGAAAAGTGAGGGAATATTGTAACTCTGAAGTCTGGCAGATCTGCTTGCACTGGTGGTTTGTAAGTCTGGTAATTGTATGATTTTTAAAAGGAATCAAGGCCAATCACCCTTTTCACAATCTTTCTACCTCGAGGCACCCAAAATTTGCTGCGTAGCTGAGCTAAGGTCGCTCCCACCCAACTATGGTGAACCTTCCTACGGCAATCTTTAATGATTAATTCTGTTAAGTGGTGATCCTTATGCAATAAAATTGGTTCCCTTGTTTCTAACTCTAACTATAAATTGCCAAGTCTACCCTTACATCTAATCATTCCATTACGCTCCACTATGTTCAATTGTCTGATAATTTGCTCATAATCACTACGTTTGCCTACTTCCTTCTGCGCCAATTTTATCAACACTTGCTTTGCGATCACCACTTTGATACTCTCAATGCTCCAGTATTCCCTGCCTCATGCTTAACTTTTGCCTTCAAATTGTCTACAAACCGTTGAACAAACGCCATGACCCTTATACGTCTTTCTATGTCACTAAAATCCCCAAACTTCACTGCACTCTCTACTACCTGTGTTTCAACTAATGCAGTCCTTTTTACCTCAGCAAGACTTTCCTTTGTATTATTAGCCTCTATTGCCCTTAGCCACTTGCACTGTGGACCTGACAACCACATTCGTCCTCTCCACCAAAGCCGACTTCCCTTTAATTGCGATGCGGCAACCTGTTAGAACCTATATCTGCTGGGTTCTCTACACCTGGGCAATATCTCCAATCATCCTTTCTGTTCAATTTTAAAATTTCGTTAACTCTATGGCGTACAAATTGTTTCCATTCTTCCTTATTACTGATTCAGGACAATGCAGTCATACTGTCTAACTAATAGTATGTTTTAATAAACTGTACTTTTCCTCCCTTATCCGGCTTGTGAGCTTTTCGAAGCTCTAACTCTAAGAATCGCATTCAACGCATCTTTCGTTGACCACTCAGTGCAATCGTGGCTTCTTGTAATCGTCAATCGAAAGGAGTCCGGTAACTTTGCAATAACTTCTGGTAGTACGATTTCTGAATACGCGGCTTATTCACGGATAGAGTAATCCAACAAATGACAGTTGAAAGTGAAGATGGCGAATACCCAGACGTATCTTTAATATGAATTGAAACAAATTATTGGAACTGTAAGTAAAGAGAATGGAAACTATTCGTATTCATTTGAAAATTGCTCGTCCAGGAAGAGTTGAATTTGACCCATCGCTGTCAAGTTAAAATAATTTACAGCTAGGTTGCTAAGTTCAGAGGCAGTTATGACATAAAATTATACTCAATGCTTAAAACTGCACTAAGTACCTTTATTTTATCATTTTTAAAATCTAGAGATTGTTGTATGTTACTTTGCCGTGATTTGAAACAAGAATGCGTGTGAGTGCTCCTCAACGGAGCTCCTCATACGGAGTAAAGTAAACAATATTGTACGCCTTCAGATGAAACTTCTGACATTTATACTTCATAAGGTCACCCTCAAACCTACAAATAAAATGATGTGAGACTTCTATTTATTATCTATTCTGTGTCAATGCATATTCACTTTCAAAATACTTCGTGTTGTGAATACTGAAGAACCCAACGTGGCTAGACTGAGCAGGTTATGCAAAAATAAACGCAGTCAAAAAAAAACTGTTGTACTGAATAAAAAATATTCTGGTTTCTACATCAGATTACATGATTACAGGTTTAACTGCATTCAGCAATACGACAAACGATGGAAAGGAAGAGGTAAATATTTAAAAAATAGCGAGAGAATAGCGAACATTCTAAACGGCCCTCTTCATCATAGCTCGTACGTCATAGCTCGTACGTCATAGCCTGTGACAAATTTAGGTGTATTTTGGCTTCAGCCAATCGTTATAGAAAACTATAGCAGTTTTCGTTGCAGATGTATTCTATTTCAATGTTTCAGTATAGCATAGTGGTTAGCCGCGCCACCTCAGTGGTTACTCACAAAAACCGGTTTTTGCTATTTAATCACTAGGCAACTAGGCGGGAAAAGTCGAGAATTATACTTTTAATATATTCAATACAGTCGATAAATTATTTACTTGCTGAAAGCTTTCGGATGCAAAAGATTGCAGCTTTATGAAGGCCTATTTTGTCCCTGACGCTTGCTGACTGCGATTTAATGGACTTCGTTATTTTGATTCAACATGGCGTTAAGAAACTCCCGAAAAGACATGATATCTTCATATTAAATACAGAATGCGGTTTAAAGTTTATATAAGTCTTACAAGAAGGCGGTAACTTGTTTTTACTCTACCCTTTGGTTGAACATGGTTTTCGACAAGACGTGTTATATATAGCCAGTAGTTATTTGACTGAAGCGAAAACGTACATGCAACTTGATACTCGTTGTCACGGAAGTACTTTGAAAATCGGGTCGTCTATTTCACATCGTATTTTACATCTAACCTCTATCAGAAGGAGTTTTTGGGAGAGCGTTGAAATGAATGCCATGTAATCTGAATCATATGTGAAAAGCATACATAGTCTTATGAGACTGTTAAAATTTACTCGGCGGATTGGCAAAGTTTAACCGGGGGATGAAGTTAAAAGGGCTTCGTACAACGCATTTTTTCAATCGTTTATAATTTAGACGGTGGGGGACCATTTAAATGGTGGTTAACGAGTTAAACGCGTTTCATACAACCGGCCAAAGTAAGTTAAACGGCGTGCATGCATCGCAGTTTTAACCATCGTTTAACTATCTGTCAGATTAAGATTTACTCTTTGGAGACGGTTAAACGTCATTTAGTTTAAACGGCTTTCCTACAACCAGCCCCAGTAGTATCTAAGTTATATTAATAAGCAAAAACTTAAATAATCGTGATTTATTCAGTTGATTCTGTATGGCTATGCTAAAATTTTCTTACTTCTTTAATTCACTGACCTAAGACTTGTCGATTTATTCGGCAAAGACAATTTCTTATCAAAGTGACTGTGTCACGAAATTGACCCTGGGGGGAGGGGCTAAAGAACGAAACACATGAAAAGAAAATTCACTACGGATATTGTATTATTTCCTTGTGAAGACTTTTAAGATTACATGGGAGAAAAATCAACGTAGACATTAGATATTTTTAATAGATCTATGGTTTTCGTTACTTTTTTATTTTGAATGATCATTCATTCACTCGACTATTTAGTGTTAAGTGATTATTTAAATATTCAATTATTAAGAACATTTCGACATGTCGAAACGTCAGTCAACAACAACAAAAACAGTCCTTATCCGGACTATACCTTCCAGGACGATCTACATGTACAAATATATTAAGAAAATGGTTATGATCATAAATATTGTTATGATCATAAATAATGGCGCGTATTGTCTATCGTGTGTGTTGTTTGGCAATAGATTCCCAGGGAAGGCCAGTAAAGTAAAAAAGTTGTTAACTGAACCTCTTTAAGATTGGAAGAATGCTAAACGCTCTTTCACTCAACATGCTGGAAAAAGTAAAGGGAGGGAAGACGGTTTGCATGCATCCACATCACCAATTTTTGATGCTTTGCGTTCCCAAATATCAGGTACTCTGCAGCCTATCGAGATGATCATGGATGCTGGTATCAAGAAAGAAATAGAACAGAATAGGGAAATACTATCTCCAATTATTGATTCTGTCATTTTTTGTGGACGTCTAGGTTTACCTCTTCGTGGGCATCGTGATGATTCCAAGTATCACCCTACTGTTGGTTGTTATTCATCTGGAGGGGCTGGTAATTTCATTGAAACACTCAATTATGGAGTTAGGAGAGGGGATAAAGTTTTAGAAAATCATTTAAAGAATTGTGGTAAGAATAGAAGTAATATTTCTAAAACAAGTCAAAATAAAATCATTAAATGTTGTGGCCAGGTAATCAGTAATCAGATTATTTCTGATATCAAAAAGTAAGTTTTTCTGTTATTGCTGATGAAGCATCTGATTCTTCACATAAAGAACAAATGTCTCTTGTTTTGCGCTTTGTTGATACCGATATGAATATCAGGGAAGAATTCATTTCATTTCTTTTTTGTAAGTGGGGACTAAGTGGTGCTCAACTTGCCAAGCTACTTTTAGTGGCTTTAAAGGAACTGACTTTATCAATAGATGATTGTAGGGGGCAAGGTTATGATGGGCTGGTTCAGTTGCTGGTTGCACTAATGGTCTAGCAGCTCAAATTTTAAAGCTTAACCCAAAGGCTCTTTATACACACTGCTATAGTCATTGGTTAAACTTATCCATTTGCGATTCTTTGAGTATACGTGTTGTCAATGATATGTTGAAACATGTTAACAATGCCACTAATTTTATTAAAATTTCCCAAACTCGCAATATTCCCTTTGAAAAACATATACGTAATTCAGAAACAAACTCGAAAAAGACTAGATTAACAGACATTTGCAAAACTAGATGGGTAGAACGTATCGAAGGTTTAGATACATTCCAAGAGCTTTTTGTACCTGTATACACCACCCTTAACGATATGTCTGAAAATCTAGATGGTGAGTTCAAACCGTCGCTTCAGTCTGATGCCTCATCTTTGTTTCAACTTATTGACAGGTTTGATTTCGTCGTTGCTTTAGTTATCACGAGAAATATTCTTGATTCAGCTCTTCCAGTAACACAGTTATTACAGGGTAAGAGTATCGATATAATGGATGGTATTCATTTAATTTCAACTTTGAAAACTGAGGTGGTGAACATGAGGAATTCCTCTGATTTTTATCATGACACCTGGTATGACGAAGCGCTTGAACTGGCAGCAAAAGTTGGGATTGAAGAATGGAAACCAAGAACAGTGCGCAAACAAACGACCAGGGAAAATATTCCCCACACAACCATTTCTGAGTATTATAAACGTGCAATTACTCTTCCTCTACTAGATCATTTGCAATCTTCTTTAGAATCACGATTCGACCTTGAGAGTGTGAATGTCTATAAAGGCCTTAGCATTGTACCGATGAAAATGATGTCCATGACAAGAGATGGGGTGGATTGGAAAGAGCCATTCAAAACTGTGGCTAACTTTTATTATGATGATTTGCCAAATCCTTTGGCCTTAGATGCTGAACTTAGGTTGTGGTACACTTATTGGGAGACCCACTGCGGCCTCCTTCCTGATAACATTGCCCAGACTTTAAAATCTGTTCATTTCGCCGGATTTGAAAACATTAAAATTTTACTACGTATTTTAGGAACGCTCCCCATTACCTCTTGTGAATGTGAACGATCTATTTCTTCCCTTAGGACACTTAAAAACTATCAGCGAAGTACCATGGTTGGGGAACGCTTAAATGGTTTGGCCTTGATGCAAATTCATCAGGAAATTGTACCAGATATTGGTGAGGTTATTAATACTTTTGCTGTTGGAAATACAAGGCTAAAATTTGCATGAATTTATTCATATCCTAGTTTTTATTTTGTTGAAATGTCCATATGTTAACCATTTATTGTGCGTTGAACACAATAGTAACGTCAAGAGAATTTGCATCAAACTAATAGCTCGCCCGATAAAGGTTTTTTCCCCTATATACATTCCAATCTTAAAACTGCTGAGTACGTGTATGGTACTCGGCCGTTGTCGACATAAATTTACTTTCACAAAAATTGTTAAGCATAAATAGAATAATTTTTCCTTACACCAAATTTTAGTCTTCACAAAGACTCTTTATACAAAGCTCTATTTTGACTATTACATTACATTTACATTCTGCTCATTTGTTGGCAAATGAGAGTGCACATTTTAGGTGGGGGGTAAAGGGTTGGAATTGACTGGGATGGTGTAAGAAACTGAGCAATCTTACATCCATGAAATGTCCCACATAATCACCCATTTCTAACCAAACTCCTTTTGCTATTTGCTAAAGGTGTGAAAGGCGAGTTTCTGGCGCCTTCAAAAACCAGAGTGCTCATTTTTAGGGGGTAAAGGGTTGGAATTGACTGGGATGGTGTGAAAAATTGAGCAATATCACATCCATGAAATATCCCATAGAGTCACCCATTTCTAACCAAACTCCTTTTTTAAAGGTGTGTAGGCGAACTTCTGGCGCCATAACCAGTCTGCTTAATTCGGCTCTCACAGGGCTGTCCATGCCGGATCACGATTTTTTGTTTTGCGTTAAAGTGTTCCTAGGCATGCTGATTAAACCTGATATGGAGCGAAACAGTCTTGTGTGCATTCAATATTCTGAATAGTGAAAATCAACGACCTTGTGATATGTAAGTATAAATATACAATGTTTTTATGTATTTATACGATTGAGATCTACAAGATTCTGCATAGCTGAATGATTAGACTGTTTGATTTAAACAATTTATCGAAAGCATAAATAGTGTAGTATGTTTTGCAAAGTATGACGTCATAGGTTTAGCACTGAATGACGTCATAATGTTTTGCCTATGGTATCCAAAATCCTAGATCCGCCCCTGTTGCCAGCACTGTGTGGATACTCATAATTTTTGAATATGAGACAAACAATGTGCAGTGAAAGTGAAAAAGGATACGAAGATAAGGAATGGCAAAGTGTACAAATGTGTGCAAAACAAACTGACTTTATTAAATTTGGTTTATTTTACTTTCGCCTTTATCGACTAAAAAAAGTACAGTTATGTCTTGTTCAATTTTTGTTTTATTTTTGTAAGATACATAACAAATAAAATTTTCACATTGAAATAACCCAAACACTGAACATTTTCACGCATCTTGGCCAAGCGATGGAATGACATTTTACACGAAATGTGAAAATGTCAAATATAAGCACATTACCTGTGATATTTTTCATTCCATTCTCACAAGTAATCTTAACTCGACATGAAGTCAACAATGTTTGAATATAATTTGCAAACTAAAGATCAGATCGAAAATGAAAGTTGTCTGAACTACCCACAAATGAAGCAATAATCTTACAGAAAAATGAAGGATAGATTTGTAACGCTCTAAATATAAGAACATATACAACCAAAATGACCACAATAACGAAACCGAAATATGGCCTACAAAACAAAACAACAGAACTCAAAGCACCCAAGCAAAACATACAAGAGTACATAGTACCGACGAAACAAGGCTTTTAAGCCTTTTAAATTACAAAATGGTAAATAAATATAATGAAACATCAATCGCAGCACAAAAATAACTCAAACGCTACGAAGCAGACAACAAAATAAGAATAAGAAACCTCACATAACTAGCAAAATAGCAATACAACCATTTACAGTTCATAAAGAGAGAATAAAATGAGAGAGACTTCTACAAAGATATTGCTTACTCATAAAAGCAGAAAATGTTTGCATTGCGATTTTACTGACCAAAAAGCTAATGATTGAATAGAATGATTCAAGACACATTCTCACTAAATACAAGTGAAATAAATCCCAGCGTAAGGATTAGTGAATAACTGAAAGTCTACGAAGTCTACGAAAAGTATAACTCAAAGTCTACGAAGCAACACAACACAAAATAAGAATAATGAAGAGAATTAGCAATACAACAGGAGAAGACATTCCAGAGATATTAACAATCAAAGCTAAGACAGATATAAGAGATATGTTATCCCAACAAGAAAACTAAATGCAGACGACTAAGCGTTTGCATTGCGATTTCACTGACCATAAAGCTAATGATTGAATATAAAGATTCAAGACACATCGTCATTAAATACAAGTGAAAAAAATCCCAGCACAAGGATAATTCAATGTCTACGAAGCAAGACAACAAAATAAGAATAATGGAGCGAAAAAGCAATACAACATGAGAAGCCGTTCCAGAGATATTAACAATCAAAGCTGAGACAGATATAAGAGATATGTTATCCCAATAAGACCACTAAATACCGAAGAAACAAGCGATATAAAGACAATAGTGCTCTTTGAGGAGAAATAGAACAGCTGAGTAGGAACTAAAGTACACAAGGAGAATCATCGAGAAAAAGAACGAATATTGATTACTCGATGTTTTATATACAATAATAATTTTAATTATTCAAGAATAAGTCAAAGTAAATAATCACATAGAGCATAACGAAAGATTAAAGTACAATGGAGCATGAACAATTGCTTTTGTATATCGGAGCTTTATTTACAACTTGAAGCCAGAAAGGAATCGTCAACTACCTTTATGCATAAAATCTCAATTTAGGCTTAACTGCTAAAGGATAACATGCTCGTCTTGATTATCAGATTGAAAAACCTTTACAGAAAGATGAAGAGCTTATAAGAAAAAGGGAAAACAACGACTAACAAACACACAATGTTGTTTGTATTGGACAATACACATTTGCTATGATGTGTAAGTGAAATCCTAAAACACCTCTCTTGAGATTTATAATTCATGCACACAGATTTTAATTGACAAGGAAAAAGTATAGAAAAGATATCACAGCCGTCAAGCTCCGATAGTTGCTTTTTAAAAGTATAAGTAGCTTTTATCAAAATAAGTAGTAATAATGTAGTATTATACCAAATTTATAAGTAGTATTGGTTAAATTTAGTAGTAATAGGGTAGCTTTTACTAAGTATAAGTAGTATTTATCAAAATATAACCTTTTGACCTTGAGACTCAAAAGGTTTATATATCCAGAGATGTCTTGTTTAATGAAGATGAATTTATCAAACAAACAAAGAAAGAAATAGTTGATCTCAATGAAATGAATTCAAGATTTATTAAAGAAGAATTTACGATTACTAATCTTTCTTTACCTTCACCGAATCATAAAGACGATACCACAATAGATCCTAATCAAGACATGAATCAGTCAAACATTTTGCACGAAACAGAAATCGAAGAACAACCACGATGTTCATTTCGATGTTCATTTCAACCTCCAGAAAGATATGGGACAGTGATTACTGGAAATTGGTGGGAAAGTAACACAGCATTCATAAATGAAGAGCTAAGTTTAACAGAACCCACAATCGTAGATGAAGCTCTAACTGGTCCTAATAAGAAGCATTGGAAATATGCCATGGATGATGAATACGCAGCTCATATCAAGACCAAAACATGGACATTAGTTGATCTTACCGAAAAACGAAGAACTATCAATTTTCGTTGGGTATTTAAAGTAAAATACAACGTGGATGGATCTGTAGAGAGACATAAAGCTCGTCTAGTCGCAAAAGGTTTTTCTCAGGAACCAGGTTTGGATTACGACGAAACTTTTTCGCCTGTTGCAAAGTATAAATCAAATCGTTCTTTGTTGGCAATTGCGAACCAGCTTACTTTTGAGATACATCAAATGGATGTTTCTAAAGCCTTTTTGAACGGTGAATTGGAAGAAGAAATTTACATGTCCCAGCCTGAAGGATACATAAAAAAGGGAGAAGAAAAACTCGTCTGTAAACTGAACAAGAGCATTTATGGATTGAAACAGTCATCACGATGTTGGTACATCACCATCGACCAATTTTTGAAAGGTTCAGAATATCTACAATCAAAATCAGACCCTTGCCTGTATATAAAGCGAGAGGGAGATGATATTATGGTTATTGCCTTATACGTTGACGACATAATTCTAGCCAGTAATGATTTCAAAATATTGCAAAGAGAAAAGGAAGCATTAAGAAAACGTTTTGAAATGAAGGATCTTGGAGAAATAAGTTGTTGTCTTGGAATTCAAGTTGAACGAGACCGAGAAAGAAAAAGAATGAAATTACATCAATCGAAATATCTTACTAATTTATTAGCAAAGTTCGGTATATATCTTAGACAAGGACTGCGTTGCTCTTGAAGTTAAATACCATAGCAAATGCTACAAGTCCTACACATCCTTCCTTTATAATGGTCAAAGTGCGTTGAGTAATGCTGGACGCAAAGTTTTGTATAGTGAGTCGTTCGAGGAATTCTGCAAGTACATTAAAAAGGTTATTATTGTTGATCATGGGATATGTTAAATGAAAATGCTTACGATGAAGTTTGTGGACACAGTTAAGAACATTGAAAATAAAGATGCCTCAGGATATAGAAGTACTAGTCTCAAGGAACGTTTAAAAGAAAGATTTCCACAGCTTGTGTTCCATACACCAAAAGTCCGTAATAGAAGTGAGATAGTATATGCAGAGGATTTGTGTAAAGGTAGTGTAGTGGCGATGTGTGTAGACGGTGACGACCCTGAAAGTGCCGAGCAAGAGGAAATAAGTGATGCTGAGCTGGAAACTCAACATTATGGAATGGATCCTTCAGCAAACTCCCCTTTACATGGTCTCTATTTCGCCGCTTTAGAGCTGAGAAGGGTTATTCATGACTATCCCACTAAGTGGTACAACGATTGGCCTCCGTTATCGAGCGATATAACCGGCGACAGTGTTAAAAATGTTGTTTCTCCAGTGCTCTTTAATTTCATGGCATGGGTACTTGGCTTCTCAGAAGAACCTAAACATACGAACTATGTTGATATTGGCGAGAACTTGAGGATCAAACTTTTCTCTTTGTGTCAGGATATGGTGTACAGTAGTTCAAAAGGAAAGGTACAAACCCCAAAATCACTCGCTTTGGCAACGGCTGTCAGACAAATGTCAGGATGCTCCATGTTAATAAGGATTTTAAGTGGTCTAGGTCACTGTGTGTCCCTATCTTCGACAATGAGCTACGATACTGCCCTAGCACAGACTGTTATGGAAACGTCAGCATTAATACCTAGTGAATTTCTTGAAGAGGTAGCTACTAACATTGGATGGGACAATATCGATTTTGGTGAAGAGATTAATAATCAAACCCATGTAACAAACGGGATAATTGCACAAAAGATCAAAGAATCCACTGAGCCACCTCTTGTCCAACCAAAACCAAAAATAAAGAAGTCGCAGAGATCTATAGAGATGCCAGGCTCAGAAATTGCCCCTTTGATACTTTGAAACATGAGAAACAAGTGCAAGAGGTAGTTAACACAGCATCAGCCATGGCCAATCCATTCAACATTGAACAAGCCAGCCTCGTCAATATTAGTACCGGTGTAGAGCTTGAAGATGGTGTTGCCGACAAGTTACTTGAAGCCGAGCAGCTTGGAGAAGACCAGTTTAATGATTTCTGCAAAGAAAATCTGTTTAGTGACGACAAAGATATATATAAAAAGATTAAAAAGAAGAACATCAGAACTTTTACAACCAAAGCAATTACCGTCAAAGACAGCAAGGGACAACAACTTGCTGTGAAGTCAAGCCGAAATCTATTTGCCAAACTACTGGTTTTGTCTAAGACGTGCAATGTCGACTTAAAAGAGTTGTTATCCTTCAGCCTTAGCGAATTTCCACTGTCCCTTGCAACTCCAACAGGCGGCTTTGTCAAGACAGCCAAATCAAAAATGTTTGAAGTTATGGAGACGCTGGGTGACAAATCAGTTCTCGTAGATGTTCAAAGCCTTCCAGACAAAAGTACTGCTCTTCTCGTAGACGCGATGGCAGTCTTGCAAGTCATCAAGGGAAAATGGAAGACATTTGGTGAGTTTGCTGACTCGACTTTAACCTATTTAACGAATGTTGCTGCGAAATGGTCTGCCACGAGGTTGGATTTTGTAGGTGATCGATATCCCGAAACTAGCATCAACAATACGGAGAGAGCTCGCAGAGCCAGTGTTCAAGGTATCTGTCATACTAGCACAGGAGATTATTATATTTTTAAACTTCAAAATTAATTTTTGTTCCTATTACAGGAGTACAGACAGTTCACATTTTCAATGATGCCCAGAAAATCCCCAAACAATGGAAAAAGTTCATGAGCTCTGGAAAAAACAAAGAGTCTCTCATGGCTTTTTTTGGCAAATCAGTGGCGTACCTATCCCTCATCTTTCTTGCGCTCCCTTGCATGCTTGTACATAACGTCGCGTGATAAGTGCATTTGCCTTACTTTGGCAGTATCCAAAGAGAACCCAATTATCTCCAATAATGTCCCAGAGTTAGAAAGCGATCATGAAGAGGCAGATACCCGTCTTCTTCTGCATTCCAAGCACTCAGCTCAAACCTATGACAGAATCATCATTAAAACGCCTGATACAGATGTCCTTGTTATATCTATTGCCATGCAAAAGCTTATTGGAAAAGATGTATACTTACTAACAGGAACAGGTTCTAACACTCGCACCATAGACGTTGGAGCTGTATCTGATGAGTTAGGAGACGCTCTCTGCAAATGTTTAACTGGATTCCATGCATTCACAGGCAATAATTCATGACACTGCTCATTATTATTAAATACATAACATATTTAACAAGTATAACATGTTTATTTGTACGCTGTGATTCCACGAGCGCCTTTGCTGGAAAAGGCAAAGTAAAGCCTTGGAAATTGCTTTTAGAAAATCCTGAGTTTTTAGAGCCTTTCTCGTTGCTTGACCAATCGTTTGAGATTTCCGAAGAAGTTTCCACTCCTTTGAATAGATTTGTCTGCCTGCTTTATGGCGACAAAAAGGGAACTTGCGTCAATGATTCAAGGTAAGGCCTTGTTGCGAATTCTATTCACACATCTGCACTTTTTGTATCTTTTTGGATTTGTAGGTACGCCTTGTTTGTGTCTGGGAAATGTTCTGACGATTGCCTTCCCCCTAACACAGACAGTCTGATGCTGCACGTCGAGAGATCAAACTATCAAGCATATATTTGGAACAAATGCCTTCTGCCGAAAATGAGACTCCAGCCCCCGTGTGGAAACGGATGGCTCATCGAAGACGACCAATTGAAAGTTTTATGGATGACTCGGCCGTCAGCACCTGACACCCTAATTGAGGTCGTCACCTGCCATTGTAAAACTGGGTGCAAAACCCTCAGATGCTCATGTTTGAAGTCTGGCTTTAAATGTACCGACTTGTGTGGCTGCGCGGACTGCTGTAATTTTGTTGCAGGAGATGACGATTTGTCAGAAAATGAGAATGATGATGATGATTGTGATGATAAAGACGATGAGTACGATAGTGAGGAAGATTAATAGATTTACAGATTTATAGATTATCGCTTGAGGAATATGCGTGCATCACATCAAATTTGTCGATTCAGGTCGCATGTTTAGTATAATTAGTCATATAATAATATAATGTTATGTATTATTTGCTCATAGGATTAGACCATTTAAAAGGTCATATGAATCTGCATTGTATTTGAACGAAAATAGCTAGTAAGAAAAGGTCTTACTAGGACGCTTACAAGTAATGAGTAATCTTCTCTATAATATTATATAAGTATTTAATGATGTAAGCGCACGGGTTGAGGTCATCCACTCAGAACAACTGAGCCTTTCTCTTTTGTTTATAATGTTCAAATTTTTAGATAGATACCGCTTTCCCGCAGTTTTGCACTGCTAAAATACATAAGAAATAATTGAAATACTAAATGTCACTATACTCACTTTGATTAAATACTGTAGTTTACTAAATATATATTTTCTCAATTTTCTGTTTTAAGTTAATAAACAATATATATATAAAATACTTCAAGCAAAAAAAACGGAAAAAAACTAAAAACACTGCCTTAAAATCCTCAATTTTGCCGCCTCTTTCTCTATCTGAGCCTGCGAATAATACAGCGGTCTTCCACAAAAAAAATGGCAGACTAAGGAAAAACAATAGGATTCAATTCGTAATTTCGAGGGCTAAAAGTGTAAACAGGTAAATTCTTGTTAGTTATGGAAAAAGCAATCAATTCATGTAGTTTTTACGTAGTCATATATTTTTACATACGAACTTCAACGATAATCGACCACAGAATACGGCCTAGAGACGCCAATAGCAAGCTTCCGCCCATCAGACCCTGAGATCACCTGCGATAGGCTTTGCTCAGGGTACGCAGGGAGAGTGTGGGCCCCTAAGACACTGAATACTATATCGCACCCAGCTTCCACTGCTAGTTGACATCTACTATATGAAGTTTTAAGTTTATATATATATACCAAAATTTAAAGTCGTACAAAAGTTGTGGGATGAGTTTTATCGTTACTGCGATAACACATGCTCAGATTCTCAATTAATTTGTGAGAGAGCGAGCTCTGAAATTGGTGCTTGTAAATGTGCTGAGCAAGTTTTCAATCATATATTTTTGAAATGCTCTTTGTTTTCTTATGCTAGTTTTGACAAATGCATATGACACTCATCAACACTTTGCTACGGCACTCGTTATATCCGTGACAACGTTAAAAATGTTTTTTTATTTTTCTCTATAATTTAATGCCTGTATATTGCATGTCATATTTAATCTTTCCTTTGATTTGACGGAAAATGGTTTTTATTCACTCTTACGCCTTCTGCCTTTATAATTATTCGATCTGTATTTCCAAAATAATATTTAGAAATGCGCGAACTCTTACGAATGCTTATTTACGAATGCTTTAATAACTCTTATCTGTCCATCGTAACTTTGCTATAGTTCTATAAATAAACTATGTTTTTATACTTAATAGATTATTGGTGATCCTACTTCACCTGAAGATGTTCAGCAAGAACGATGTTTGAAGTTACCTTCGTTAATTAACAATATAGCCCGGGAAAAAGGGTTAGATGACCAAAATTATAAATGTAATAGTTCTTCCAGATCAATTGGAATGAGTATGATCAGTCAATTCCCGACTTGTTATTTCCATAATAACTCAAATATATTTATTCTCAAATATCTTAGCTTATTAAATCTTATCTTTGTAGAAACTATTATAACAAAGCACATAATCCCCTTGTTCCATGAACCCCTAGACGATAGAGTTATGAGAAAGTTACATTGTAAAAAGTAAAAACTAAAAATCGTACAAACATGCCTAGAGTGTGCTTAAATTATAATTCAAAAAGGCAGAAGTTGTTTGATTCTTTCAAGTATCCTTGGACGTTCTAGTTTCTTTTATGAGAAGAATTCTTGTAAAGAAATAGACAAATTTTTAAAATAAAAAAATCCGGTTTTCGGTCTGTGCCTCCCAACACCCGTGATAGTTGAGCACTAGAGCGTCGCATGTTAACTAAGGGAACCACATAATCCTTGTTTGTTTGCCATGAAGCATATGGATGGTTTGCTCGTTATATATGATAAAAAATAAACGGAAGAGCTAAATCAGAAAGATGTGATGCGATAAAAATGGTATAAAACATGTTTAAGGTTGTCTTTAATTATAAGTGTCAGATGAAGACAGGGTCATAAGAAGTTAAGTGAAACATTACTTGGTTTTTTTTATGAGAGGAAAACAAAAAGACAAAAATCGAAAGCAAAAAAAACCCTGTTTTCGGTCCATGCTTCCCGATACCTCCTTAAGCTCAAGGCACTAGAACGCCGCATGTTAACGTTTCGGTAGGAGATTTCGGCCCTTCCACGCTATCCTACTTGGGAGATGCCAATAGCAAGCTTCCGCCCATAAGACCCTGAGATCACCTGCGATAGGCTTTGCTCAGGGTACGCAGGGAGAGTGCGGTCGCCACCGAGTGTGGGCTCCTAAGCCACTGCATACTATTTCGCACCCAGCTTCCACTGCTAGTTGACATCTACTATATGAAGTTTTAACTTTAAATATATATACCAAGATTTAAAGGCATACGAAAGTTGTGGGATGAGTTTTATCGTTACTGCGCATGCGCAGATGATTTCTTTGATAATTTGCGACTAAGTGAGTTAATTGACACAATTTTAGTGCAAATACGTAAAGTTGGTCGTTGTCATGACTATGAATAACTACTCGAGTGGACTGCGCATGCTCAAGCAGACTACGCATGCGCAAATGATTTCTCTATTAAATTGTTACTAAGCATATTATTTACTTCAAAATTGGTGCTATTATATGCAGGTTGTTGTTGCCATGACTATGAACTTGGGTAGCTGGTCAAGTTAGCTGCGCATGCTCAAGGAGACTGCACATGCTCAGATGATTTCTCTATTAAATTGTTACTAACCATGCTATTTACTTCAATATTGGTGCTAGTGGATGCAGTTGGTCGTTTCCCAGACTAAGGGATTGGGTATCTGCTCAAGTTGATTGCGCATGCTCAAGCAGACTGCACATGCGCAGATGATTTGTGTTAAAACTTGTGACTGAGCGAGCTAATTACTCCAAAATCGGTACTAGTACATCCATTTGGTCGTTACCATGAGCTTGGAGAGTTTGTGGTGTTGATAACACATGCTCAGATTCTCAATTAATTTGTGAGAGAGCGAGCTCTGAAATTGGTGCTTGTAAATGCGCTGAGCAAGTTTTCAATCATATATTTTGGAATGCTCTTTGTTTTCTTATGCTAGTTTTGACAAATGCATATGACACTCATCAACACTTTGCTACGGCACTCGTTATATCCGTGACAACGTTAAAAATGTTTTTTTATTTTTCTCTATAATTTAATGCCTGTATATTGCATGTCATATTTAATCTTTCCTTTGATTTGACGGAAAATGGTTTTTATTCACTCTTACGCCTTCTGCCTTTATAATTATTCGATCTGTATTTCCAAAATAATATTTAGAAATGTGCGAACTCTTACGAATGCTTATTTACGAATGCTTTGATAACTCTTATCTGTCCATCATAACTTTGCTATAGTTCTATAAATAAATTATATTTTTATACTTAATAGATTATTGGTGATCCTACTTCACCTGAAGTTGTTCAGCAAGAACGAGGTATGAAGTTACCTTTGTTAATTAACAATATAGCCCGGGAAAAAGGGTTAGATGACCAAAATTATAAATGTAATAGTTCTTCCAGACCAATTGGAATGAGTATGATCAGTCAATTCCCGACTTGTTATTTCCATAATAACTCAAATATATTTATTCTCAAATATCTTAGCTTATTAAATCTTATCTTTGTAGAAACTATTATAACAAAGCACATAATCCCCTTGTTCCATGAACCCCTAGACGATAGAGTTATGAGAAAGTTACATTGTAAAAAGTAAAAACTAAAAATCGTACAAACATGCCTAGAGTGTGTTTAAATTATAATTCAAAAAGGCAGAAGTTGTTTGATTCTTTGAAGTATCCTTGGACGTTCTAGTTTCTTTTATGAGAAGAATTCTTGTAAAGAAATACACAAATTTTTAAAACATAAAAATCCTGTTTTCGGTCTGTGCCTCCCAACACCCGTGATAGTTGAGCACTAGAGCGTCGCATGTTAACTAAGGGAACCACATAATCCTTGTTTGTTTGCCATGAAGCATATGGATGGTTTGCTCGTGATGTATGGTAAAAAATAAACGGGAGAGCTAAATCAGAAAGATGTAATGCGATAAATTGGTATAAAACATGTTTAAGGTTGTCTCCATTTTTGTCTTTTTGTTTTCCTCTCAAAAAAAATTCAGACAAACAAGGGTAAACTAT